TTTTTTAAATGGTGACATAAACAGACGCACCCCGAGGCGCTAATTCACACCGTAATCTGAGGGGCTGCAGTCAAATCAAAGTGTCTGTTTTTGAAGCAGAAAACTTTAAATACGAGCAGCGACTAAAATAATCCGAAAACTAAAACCTTCAACAGCGCAACAAAACGTCACGGGATTATTTCCTCACCCCTTCCCAAAAATAACTAAAAACAAGTTCACTCACGGCTATTGAGAATGTGCAGATTACTACACCCCCTCCCCATCCCGCCCCCTCCTCCTATACTTTCTTGCAGGCGTCTTGTCTCAATTTTTTTTTTCTCCCTGCGCTGAGAAATTCAGGCTTATTGTCTGCTGCTGCGCTCCCAGGGAACAGCTGCCAAGCCAAGGCCACATTCCCAGTGTGTGCCCGACATCTCCGGGTCCATTCATCCCCATGCACCACCACCACCACCAATCAGCTGCTGCGCATCCATATGCATGCTGCCGGTGGTTAGGCAGAAACAGAAAGGCCGCGCACGGTGACCTGCAGCTCACCGATCACTAATTCTGGATGGATCGACTTAAAGGAGCATATGCTGCAGGAAGAAGAGATTTACCCTGATCCGCTTCTGACAAATTACTAGTAAAAAAAAAAATGTTGAGGAAATATGAACTCGCAAAAACGCGGCGCGTGTGCAAAAAATGGAATTTGAAATAAAAACGATCAAATTCGATCAAAACCGAAGATGCAGGCCGCGTCTCCTGGGTTGGAGCTTTGATTCCTTGTCGTCAAGAAGCGTTTACAATTCAATTAGTATCATTACGTCTTTTATTCATTCACGTATTCTCCATCTAGTAAACTTTATAAGTTTATTTTCTAATGTGAGTGTATTTGTACAAAAGACAAACAAACAATCAGACATGAGCAGTCCGGGCCGGACCCAGAGTCTTGAGGAGTGGGCTCCGGCTGTGTGGGGGCCCCCCCCATACTGAAACTCTTCCTGCAGAATGTCTTTAATAAACCTGTCTCTGTTCTGTTTTTGTTGTTTTGTTTTTGTTGTTGTGTTTTTTTGTGGGTGGGGGTGCGGGCGGGGCGGGGGGCGTTAAAGTCCTGCAGTGATGCTCCCTTTGCGCTTACCCACATCACGCGTTCAAGCAGCGTCCTGTTTTGGCGGGTTCTCTTTCTCGTTTTCGTTTTGTTGATGTTTCTATCGCGGATGCGGCGTGCCGGGCAGGGGGTTTAGCGCCGGTTGGCCCCCCGGCCCTAGACCGTGAATGAGCACCCGCGGGACCAGAGGTCTCTGCAGGCTGGGGTGCGGCGCGGAAGGAGTCCGGTACATGCTGCTGTACATGGCGGCGGCCGCGGCGGCCGCCGTGGTGCTGTCCACGGTGCCCAGCAGGCTCGGGTGGTAGAAGTAGGGCGAGGGGAACATTCTCTGTAAGGCCGAATAGTTTCCTGCTTCAGCCAGCAGCTCCAGACCGACCGCCGTCTGCCTCTTCCACTTCGTCCTGGAAATCAGATCAAAATCCAGCTGATCAATTATTTAATCACTCTCACCGAGTCCCTGAACGCCTCTTTAATTGGTATGCAGAGGCCTAATTACTGCAGCCAGAATGTACAGTGAAGGTTTAATTAGGCAAAAAAAAAAAAAAAAAAAAAAAAAAAACACAGACCAACTATATATGGTTAACCCAAACTTCAGCAAATGTTCGTTTCTAAGCTGTTTAAACACAAATCAATACAAGCTGCACTCTGATTGGTTGGTGAATACATTTACACACACACACAAACATACACACACACACACACCAAATTTTACTGTTACATATCGATGTGTCAGACTTATATATATATATATATATATATATATATATATATATATATATATATATATATATATATATATATATATATAGCAAAACAGTAAAGCATTAAAAAGAGTTAAGTACTGATTCATGACATGTTTGTGTATTTGTGAAGGCAGTATCAGTTGTTCTGATCCAAAAAGTAAATAAAAATAATACAAGAAATTGAAATCTTATCAAATTGCCAGATGTTTATTTCTACTGTTCAAAAGCTACATGATATTTTTACATGAATGTTTCCGTTGGAGTTTTCCTCCTGCCTGTCTCTGAGTTCAGTGTTGCAGTGCCGCATCAGTGATGTCTGTATCTTTATTTTACTCTTCCAGCAGCTCGTGTTGTTGTGACAGAACATCCTGAATTGATTAATTTAGTCAAATAAAACATATTTACTTTCTTTTGCTTTACATTATTTATATTTGTCATTTCTAATGTTTTAATTTGATTCTCATTTTTTAATGTTCAGGTTTTTCTGAGGGAATTTCCTCATGTATTTTTCTTCATTGTCTCGTAACGATGGATACGGCAACACAACTGACCAAATTAATACAATTATTATTATTATAAATATAACTGGCGTTAGACTGAATGATGGGACATTTTAGGGAAAGTTTAATTCCAAAATGTCTGTAATGTTTGATCTATAATTGTTTTGCTGCCTTGGATAAAACTCCTACAGATATCCTGTAAAGTAGTTCCATTTTTATATTGATAATTGTTGCTTCAGTATTTATTATTATTATTATTATTATTATTATTATTATTATTATTATTATTATTATTATTATTATTATATATTTTGGCTTACCGTCTGTTTTGGTACCAGGTCTTGACTTGCGTGTCCGTCAGGTTGAGAGCCGCCGCCAGGTCCATGCGGTCCTGCACGCTGAGGTATTTCTGTCGCTCGAAGCTCCTCTCCAGCTGGTTGAGCTGGTGGTCCGTGAAGGCTGTGCGGGCTTTGCGGGGTTTTTTCGTGCGCACCGGCGGACTGTCTCTGCTGCTGGAAATCTCCCGGTCGCCTTCTTCTTTAGTGCCTTTAAAATGTGCGAGAGATTTGTTTTTGTTTTGTTTTTCTAATAATAATAATAATAATAATAATAATAAAAACTAAAATTATCCACTGAATTTATTTTCCATAATCCTGAACAAGAACCAAACTTTCGCCCCCACCTCCCCCCCAAAAAAAACTTAGTGCAAACAATCCCTTCTGCAGGGAAAAGAAACTCGCGTGTATTTGTCACCTGAAGTTTTTTTTTCTTTTCTTTTTTCCTCCATCCTCTCTCTTTCAAAAAACGAGACATCAATATATCAATCCATCTCTATTTGTAGCCGCGTTTCAGTGCGCCGTGATCCCCCCTCCAGGAAGAATAATAATCTCTCTAATTGACCCACTAGGGAGGCCCCACGACGGGAGAATCACAGGGCTTACATCTGTTTTCTCATCTATTACAGCGAGAAAGCTCGCTGATTATTACTGTTATTTTCACTACTATTATTACTGTTATCACTACTATTATTATTACTACGATTATTATTATTTTTACTACTATTATTATTATTAGAGGAGAATACATGGAATTTTTTTATTTATTTTACTAATCAAACTCTCCCTTTTAAAAAATAAAAATAAAACAGGAAAATAGAATGAAGTAAAAGCAAAAACAATATATATGTATTATAAGATAAAACCTAAGAAAACATAAAGCTAAAAGCAGCTCGTCTTCCCCTCAGATGAGTCCCTCTTACCGTTGCATTTCATTTCGCTCTGAATATCGTCCCTTTTATCCAACTTGCTCCTGTTCTCGTCCTGCTCCAGTTTGGGCCGGAACACGTCCGGTCCCGCGGCACTTTCCGGTTTGGGCGTGTGATGCGGCGACGAGACGCTGGTGCTGTAAGGTGCGCAGGCCGCCAGCGGTTTGCTGTCGCCCAGAATGTCTTTGATTAAAAACGAAGAGGTGGCAGTCCTGGGGGCGCAGCCGGCGCCTCCGACCTGCTGCTGCTGCTGGGGAGACAGCGGTAAGCTCTGCTGCTGGCCGTGGTGGTGGTGCTGCTGCTGCTGATGGAGGTGGTGCTGATGCTGAAGGCTGTCCGGGACCAGATGCGGCTCGCCGCCGTGCTCCATGGTGACCGAGATGGGGGACGACGGGGCCGTGCCCACCGTGTCTATCTCCGAGCATGGCGACGGGGTGGCCTGGCTCCTGAAATCCGCTGTCCGGCCGTCGGCGAGCCGGAAGTCTCCGTTCATGAGGGCGCCAGAGTTGGAGGCGCCGGATAAAATAGTGTCTATCCCAAAACTCGCTCCGCTGGATGCTTCCATGTTAAGAGAGGACAGATGAAGCCTTCATAACAACAGCGAGCTGCTTTCTCCCGCAGTGTGGGAAATAAAATCAAATCACAAGAAAATAAACTCTTGAGAGAGAGAGAGAGAGAGAGAGAGAGAGAGAGAGGAGAAATTTAAAAAGAAAATGTTTAAAAAAAAGGAGGAGGAAAGAGCTGAGAAGAAAACCCAAAAGAAAAATAGAGAAAGGGAGAGAGAGAGATAGAGAGAGAGGAGAAAAACAACAAAAAAAGGAGAAAATCCACGTTTGTGCGGCTCACACAGTCTGGATGGTCCAATGTTACATTCAGTGAAACAAAGTGCGGCTCTGCTGCTCCTCGTCCCCGTTTCTTTTTTTTCTGTTTGGATGTTGAACTTTGTGTTAAAAGTTGAGGCGCATGGAGAGATATACACAGGGCTGACTCCTCGACATCAGGCTCCCCCTTTTTGCCGCTAATCGCTCCGGTGTTGCTCCACAATGACTTCCTATGCTGACGTCACGGCCCACGGCGAGGGGGGAATTAATATTTTCTCCTTTATAATAAACACTCGACGCCCTTTTCTCTCTCCATCTCTCTCTCTCTCTCTCCCATGTACCCATCTACCTTCCCTTTGCCCCGCTGCCATTGGCTTGCATCCTGACCGGCTCCTCAGAGGCACCAATCAGAGACGCGCTCTCCTCTCTCAGACACTTGCAGCGGGTTCAGGAGCCGCGGCTCCTTTTCTTCGTCTTCTTCTTCTTGAAATAAAAAAAAGGAGCAAAAGGGAAAAACAACAGCCGCGCGCACTTTATGGCTAAACTGGAAATATTTTTACATGGCGAGAGCTAAAACTGAATGTTGGATTTCTTTATTTTTTTTTTCTCTCTCTCTTCATTTTCTTGTTTATGTATTAAAAGAGAGAATTTGATTTTATTTCATAGCTAAATAAATAAATAAATAAATAAAAACAGATTCAACTCCTGTTCTATGGTAGGAAAAATTAGAAACATTTTTATTACGTATATGTTTTCTTTCTAAAAGTCGATTTTTAAAGTTGCAAATATTTGTTTAAAGCTCGGATTACGATTTTAAACTACAGGCTTGCAATACAACCGAGAAATCAATTTTAAAAAATAACTGCGGAAAGATAAGCGGCACCTGACGTGAATCCGTGCTGAGATTTTTTTTTCTTTTTTCCTGGGGAAGGTCGAGCGGTGGAGCGGTGACTGCCATGACAGCACATCCTGTTAATAACCACGTCACCCTAATTAGTAAAGTAATTATGAGGCGCTAATGAGCGTTCAGAGGTAGTAGGAAATTCAGCACTTTTCGCCTCGTTCCGACGTGGATTTGAAGGATGTTAAACCGAGGATTAAAAAAAAAAAAAAAGCAGAAGCAGGAACTGACAGAGTGTCTGTTGAGAGAGCAGCGTGGCTCTCACTGCTCATGATGCGCAAACATGGAATTTCTTGAATTCTTCTTCTACTGTTTCTGCCGTATTCCAGAAAAAAAAATGGATAAATTAATTCCGGTTTTGTTCTATGCTTTTATTATTAGTAATTATACTAATAATAATAATATTATTATTATTGCAGTAACCATGGCTGTGTTTTTCCTCCAGCAGGTTGGCAGGAGAAATGGAGGCTTTAATGCTGGAGTTGAGAAGCTGAATCTCGGATTTGAAGGTTCGTTCGTAAATCTGCCTTAATAATAAATGTGACCACAAGTACCAGTTAGTTTAATTTAATTAATTATTATTTTTAAATAAAAATTGTTGAATTAATTTTAGAGTTCTTTGTTAAAAATCTTGAAACATTTTCCCCCATAAAAAAATGACTTTACTTTCCCCCCCTTCTGGTTTGCTTTTGTTGTTGTTGTTGTTGTTGTTGTTGTTTTTGTTTTAATGAAAATATAACATTTATTGTTAGAGACATTTTGAATTTCCTCTCGTTTCCGTTCATAGTTTTATTTATTTATTTTTTCATTTGAGGCTAATGATATTATCCGTCTCTTTAATTCCCCCATTCTATTTATTTAGTTAGAAATATTCATAATAAACGAAATTAAATCTTCCTGAATGATAAAATACGGCGCTGTTTTTAAACTGAACTTCTATCGTGACCCTGTCTCTTTTCTCCAGCCTCCCTCACAGGAGACGCTAGCAGACTTCGACCAGAAGGCGGCGACAAACCGAGGCCAAAGTCCGCCTGATTTGGAGCTGAGTAGCGCGCACGAGGCCTCCGCTGCCCTTTAATAAGCAACAACGACGCGTTTCACCGCCGCAGTTCGCTTCTGAACGCTTATAGTACACTTAGAAAGACACCGGTATGATATCATGAGTGGGACGCTTGATCCACGCACACAATGCTGAGCCAATCAGAACATCCGGTAATCAGAAAACCCCTCATTCTCCACAAACCGCCCAGGTCAGATCAAAGCGATGCTTAAACACGTCAGTCAGTGTGCGGACAGGCGCACAGGCTGCGCATCATCCCGCAAACAGGAGCAATCAATCTCTTTATTAGGGTTTGTTTCCCCTTCTTTTTTTCTCTCTTTTTTTGGTCGCCGCAGGAGCAAATTGAAAGCTACCAGTTACAGTACCGCCTTATTGGCCTCAGCTGATGGTCGATGATGGGACGGGTGCACACACACACACACACACACACACACACACACACACACACACACACACACACACACACACACACACACACACGCGCGCGAGCGCGCATTTACACACATAGTGGCTGCTGGCACCACATCGATTCTCTGGCGGCTGTGCGTGGAAGCTGTCACTTCACCGCCGGCGACCTTTGTGGGTCTGCACAGTTGCGGCGTTTACAGAGAGACGCCCCCGCGTTTACACTGTCAGGCGGTGAGGGGTCGGATGGCCGCACGAGCGTCCTCATGCGCGCGCGCGCGTTCGCACACGTTCAAGGAGGTTTTGCTGAAGTTTTAAGCAGTGTTAAAAATCACCTTTGAGTTCGAGTCAGTGAAAGCGGAAAGCCCCCGCGTGATTATTTAGCCAAAATTACAACTATACTAAAATAAATAAATAAATAATAATAATAATAATAATAATAATAATAATAATAATAATAATAATAATAATAATAATAATAATAATTTATTGGAGAGGTCTCATTTAAAATTTTAACAGCAAAAAAAAATAAAAATTAAAAAAACATATAACAAAATTGGTTAAACCTCAATTTTGTTAAAGATAATTTAATTTTATTTATTAAATTAATCAAATACGTTGGTTATAAATATTATGATATTAGTCACGCAAACTTTAATACAGCAATAAAATAGAACATTTATGTTTTATGAATGGAAGAACAAAACATATGCACTGTCATAACAACAGAACACCGCCACATTATATGAATTTACCCAATCCAATTCCTGATCTGGTTTTTACATTGCATGACCCAACTGACAGACATATGGTAATATTAGTGGCCTAATCATTCTAATACACTTAATTCAATTTTATGTAAATCATATCAAATCATAACTCAAGTCGATATGGTGGAGAGAAAAATGGTCATATCACAAAACTGAGCACACAGATTCACCAGAATGTAAACAGTGAGTGATGTTTGGAAGGAGGACCCACTTCCCCAAATCCATAACCATTTAATATACACTTTTAAAAACATTCAAGCTCAAGTTTGTCAACAGTTTTTGCTGCACAGACCTTTACTGGATCCTCCTTGGCAGTAGAACCACGACTAGCAACACGTTCACTCATGCCATGCTAACAGGAATCAAACAAATCAGTATTGGTCTGTGAATATGGTACAACATGTTGGTAGAAATAGTGTTTAAATCTCTTCCCCTGATGACCAAAGCTAATCTGTTCCTTAGCAACAACTCCTCTGGGTAAAGAATCTCACCTTGTTAGCATGTTTTGTGTTAGCATCAGCATCTGTGGCTAAACTAACTGCAGATAAACTTCAGCTCTCGCTCCAACACGGAAACATTATCCATCACAAGTCTTCTGGCAGTTTTTGATATCAGTCCCAATTAAATCAATATCAATATATTGGTCTTACTGTTCTCTGTTGGACAACGCACATGCTGAGCTAACAGGCTGACTGAACCAACAGCTTCAGTTAAATTAAAATGTTTAGGCACCAAAACAAAACTTTCATAAAATATTATATTTCTGAACTAATATCCAAAGTCAAAATGTAAATATTTTGAATGGGTAAAGTTAAATATCACCTTAAAATAAATTTTTATAGTGTAGATTTTTTGACTTCTTCCATCAACTTTTTCATGCCAACATTTATATTTACAGTCTCTTTGAGCAGAGATGTAAACAACAGAAGGTCATCAGCAGAAAATAAATTCATTTTGTTCGTTTTAGAATGAGTAGAAAATATTTTTATCTTTCTTCTTAGGAAACTTTAATTATAAAATTATGTCAACAATTTCTTTGAAATTAAACAAAAGAAAAAGAATGTATTTAATAAAAACTGTTCAAATCCGCCAAGTTTGAGCTGTAAAAACGAAACATTTTCACCAACATTTTCAACCTGATTTTTTTCCCCAATTTAATTTTGTCCTAGCTTCTCCAGTGCCAACTATATAACCCATCCTATAACAGTTATCAGTCATGTGATTGGACCTGAGCAAATAAAAAAGGTCAAAATGTAAAGAAATAAATCAGATTTTGAGGAACTCATGATCAAACCTAAAACATGACTCGTGTGGAGAAAAGTGCTGTTTCATGGACGCCTGTGTGTGACTGAGGGAATCAAAGCACTGTGCTCATCAGTTCACACCGCTATGGCATGAAAAATAGCTGGAGTGTCAAGAGTCAGCGTGAGGGCCGTAACTGACCGCCCTGTCAAAGTTGTCCTTGACAGATGGTCGGGGCCGGGCGGGGCTGAGAGTGGAGCTGAGGGTGGAGTAGGGTTATATTGATCAAAAGATACAAACCGGACATGCAGTGTAACGGTATCCAATGAGGTCAGTGTCCAATCACACCTCTACTTTTCTCTTACTCCTTCTGCTGATGTAACAAAATACATAAATGGTTTCTTGTGTGTTGCAGGAACGTTTTCAGAACTTTAGACCTAAAACATTTCCACCAAGTCGGAGAATCAGCCTGTTTTACATATATATATATATATATATATATATATATATATATATATATATATATATATATATATATATGTGTATATATATATATATATGTGTGTGTGTGTGTGTGTGTGTGTGTGTATGTGTGTTCAATGTTGTTTTGCCTTTTATTTTAGGGTGTTTGTGTTGCTGGGGTAAGGACTGATAGTCACCAGAGCGACAAACAACTCAGGGCCGGATACACAAGGATGTGGGCTCCTGGGCTGGAGCCGATTTTGGTGCCACACTTTTCTACTGAGGCAAATTACAATACATCAATAGGTAGTCCCATACAGGAAATGATGCATGGTAGTTTTAATATGCTAAGCAGTAGTTCTATAATGTTCCCCAAAAATTACTAAGACTTTTAAATTACTTCAGTATTTTATATATTTATAAAAATTAAAAGAATATTAAGATAATTCATCTGATGTGGACTTGAGTTTTATATAAAGGACAATGGAAACACTTTAAACAAATTAGAATTGGGCACCTTGGGCTGCATTTGTATTAATCTCCCTTTTACTCTGTTGCCCCTAAATTGAACCTTCCTGTGTGTAGTTTGAGCTCACAGATGTTCCGTGAAGCCCTCTGAGGTTTGGAAGACAACAGAGAACAATAAGTTGTCATGTTAAAAAAAGGTAAATAAAGTAAATTTGACAAACTTTATTCAAATACATGTAACAAATTAAGTGAATCTTTTTAAAGTTGGAGCTCTACTCTCTTTTTCAGTATGTGCACGTTTCCACATGAGATACTGATGCATGCTACATTCATGGAGGGAATGAAACACATGCATTAGGTTGTATCATTTCTGGGCTGCTAAAAATAAGCACCTTAGCATATTTTTAACTATTTACCGCCACAACAAAATATTCAAAGAATCCCAAATGTTGAGCTTCCCTCCTCCTGCTGTCAGAGGAGCAGGATCAGAGATGCACAGGAAGTGGAGAACACATTGATTCGAGCGCGCTCCAAACACGGGCTGGCCCTGACAAGGTTGTTATAACAGTCGGTGGGGTCTATACAATCGCTTAATCACCAAAGCTGTCAGTCAAACGGGGGCCGCTGCTGGCTCCATGCATGGCTGCGAGCGGCGTTCCACTAGCAGCCTCCCTGAGTGATTGATCCGTGCTGATGGCATCGCAGAAATAATTACAAGTCGTCTCCTGATGTGTGATTCTGCAGCACGTTCACGCTTCACGAAGATAATCGGGAGGGATCAGGAGGGGTCAGTGCCATTTCCTATTACCTGGAGTCCGAGCAAAAAAAAAAAAAAAAAAAAGAGGGGTAAAACAATGCAAGCAGAGTGAGGCAGAGGGGGGAGTAACAGGGGGTGGGGTGGCGGTGGAGGGGTTTGGGTGCGCTTTGTCAATGAGTTCTGACGTGTTTTTGTCCAATCTCAACCACTTAGAGCCTAAAAGCTGAACATACTGCAGCAGACTGATGGAATCCAGTGTTTACAAATGGGGATTTTAAATAATCGGCTTCATTTAGTTGATTCCCATCACAATAAATCGACTGCTAGACGCCATGTTGGGAGACGGTCAAATTTAGGGCCGGTTTAAAACCACAAGATTAAACTTTGTGTGCTGCATTAAATAATTAATAAGGTAATCAATATATCATAGCAATATCCTTACTGACGGTTATTGCAGTGTAAATTTATCTCATGAGCAGGTGTTAAAGTCAACATGATAACACCTCAGATTTATGTGACAATAAAGAGGAAACCTAAAATAAAATTTAAAAAAAATCTCTATGGAATAAAGAGCATATTCTATATGCAACATCTTGTCTGACATTCTGTAACAAGGCCCTGATTGGTTGAAGTGTGTGTACTTTTGCATATTTTTGTGCCTCCATTTTATTTTGTATGAGTTAAAATGTTCAAGTCTGACTTTGGGAAGGAAGAGCACAAAATGTCTGTAGGATTTATAACCCAGAGAAAGAAAATCTGAACTTTTTGATCTGGCCTCAACCTCAAAATCCAATATGGCCGCCCTACACCGCTTCTGACGGTTTGTCTCTTTGAATCTGATGCACAGTTTGATACTCGTGGTTATTGTACACACCAAAAACAACAAAAACTCGTGACGCAGAAATCAACCGCCAAGTGATTGATACTGGCCAGATTTTTTTTCCATGACTTGCTGACCGAAAAACCTGTTGGGTTTCTCTTTGTCTCCAAAACTGAAAGTTCCCACCCTTTATGGTCCATAAATGCATCACCGAATGTCATGATGTTGTTAGGTTAACAGAAATGTTAGAGAGTTTTGCTTTTATCCATGAATGGGGCTAATCTATTAATCCTTGTTTTCTACTTTCTCTGTTATGGAGGAAATACATTTCTTTCTTTTATGTTCAACATTTGTTAAAACTACTCAATAAATACATGCATTGCAGACATAGTTTGTATTTTCTCCAGCGTTGGCCTCCAGACCTGTTCCTCTGCAGCCTGCAGCTTCTGTTTCAGATATCTGCTCCAATACACCTGAGATCACTGACTGCGAGCGACAAAAGCAGATGAAGTGGATAAGCAGTGCATGCTAACAGCTGATGGCTTCATCTAGCATTTGTTGCCATGGAATATCATCTCTGCTGTTTAAAAATTGAGCTGTTAGCGTGTCATGATCGTCATGAAGCTGTCGTTCAACAACAGTCTTCAGTCAGAGGCCTCCTCAGATTTGTTGCAAAACTGACTGCTACCAGAAATCCTTCTGGCCTGCAGGATCACCGTAGACAGAAGCTCCTCTAAGACACTTGTTTTATGAGATTAATGTCCCCTTTGTGATAAAGTGTTTTTCAATTGAATTACATGAAAAACTGAGATAAAAAATAAAATACATTTGATTTTAATGACACCAAATCAAAGGGAAATGACATAATAGTTGATAATGCCACAAGTCCATCAGTTTATCTGTGAATTTGTGAAACATAAATTGAGCAAAATTCTTGAAATTCAAATCTAATAAAGCCTATGTAACATGTCACATTTGAATTTTACGCATAAATACATAACTGCATTATGTATCATTCCAACTCGGTGGCGTTCCTCCTGATGCAACTGATCATCCCATAATAACGCGCCTCTGTTTCACATCAGAATGACACATCAGCAGTTTAATATGGCAACTGACAGGCAAAAGAAGAACCCGGAATCTGCTGTTCTGTTTTTTTGTTGTTTTTTTTTAAAGGAGAAATTGATTTTCATGCAGAAGAAGCATTAACCTTTATTAAACACCTCTCTGGTCTACACAGAAGCGCAGCAGTAAGGAGCAGCCGTACGACGCATTACCCATCCCTCAGCCGCTGACAGCGCTCACTCCCTGCATCACACACAAACAAACAAACAAAAACAAAAACAAAAAAAGAGAGAAAGAAACACGCAGAGAACACAAACAACACAGTGTAAAATGGGAATCAAGCAAGTAAACAACGAGCGTATGATATCTGCACATGAAGGAGGCATCCTGTTTCTCACTCTCTCTTTCTGTGTGTGTGCGTGTGTGTGCGTGTGCAAGTGAGCGGGACCGGCGGAGGCATGATGTCACTAATGAACCCGGAGAAACGCGGCGGTGAATAATGAAACACAACACTGCATTTTGCAACAGAAAGAAGAAAAAGGTGAGATCATCAGCGAGCAAGGGAGGCAAGAGTGAAAGAAAGCAAGCAATGATTAAATGATCAAAAGCTGGCAGAGCGCGGCTCTGTGTCACTGCGAGGCACACTCATCTACCCACAAGTGAAAGTTAGGTTTCAAGCACAGTGTAATTATAGCTGGGGATGTCAGTTTGACATTAATGCAGCCAGCAGAAATTCCCTAATTGGCCTCAGAGGAGAAAGTGAACCAGAAAATATATTAACATTTTAAAAAAGCATATTTTGCCTAATCCTTTCACTTTCCAACAATATTTGAAGACCAAAATGCCCCGGGCATGAGAATTTAAATGAGCAATTTTGTTTTTGAAGGAAACGGCCAATGAGACAGAAAATAGACTAAAGGGAAATCATTAGTGTATGAGAGATCCTGACAGGCTCGCCTTGCTGACTGGCTGGCCTGTCACTAGGAGTCTGTGTTCTTCAGCTCCACGCTATGAGCTAAGCTGATAACATGAAAAGACCCATAAACGTGCAGCCAGAAGTCAAAGCCTATTATCTAGAAATTCAAATGCGGGGGTAAGGATGAGAGGAAAAAAAAGAAAAGAAAACCAAAGGAGGGGTGGAGGGGCAGCAGTGGTGGGTGGAGGCATAGCTCTCTCCGTCTCCTGTAGGGGGAAAACTGGCCAGAGCGAGAGAACTTCTAATAGGCCCTGTTATCCGACACAAACGTGTGCCAGAAAATGTTGCTGCAAATCATAACATCGCCCGACAAAAAAAAAAAAAGAAAGAAAGAGAAAACGCAGGGAGAGAGAAAGAGAGAGAGAGAGGAGAGAGCGTGGACGACAACAAACTGCTGGAAGTTAAGGGAGAGACGCAATGTCACATGCGCCCAGGCTGATGTGACATGACCGTATCAGAGAAACACAGCTAAGTGCAGTCAGGAGACGTTAGGCCGGTCCCCCGGTGATGAAGCAGCTGAGGCAAGCATCGCCCCTGGCGTGGGACTGCAGGGCAAACTGCTCAGGCTGCACAAGCCTTGCCCTTTTGAAACAAAACAGAGAGGAATGGCCAGGGGAAGCTGGTCGGCCTCAGCAAGGAAAAAAAAAAAGTGGGGGAGGTAGGAAGGGGAGGGGGGGGTAGGTTTATTTCCTCCAGCGATGGAAAGGGGGAAAGAAAAAAAAAGGAATGACTGAGAAGACAGAGGAAAGTGAGAACAACAACAGATCTCAGACTGTGTCTTTTTTTTTTTTTTTTTTTCCCGACAACAAAGGGCATATCATATTCCAGCCTCCACTCCAGCCGGCCAGTCAGAGGTTTCTGCTCCCACCTCGCCATCTTTATTTCTGTTCACAATCAGGCCAGGGCTGCTCACAGAGGGATGGAGGGATTTCACTCTTCTTCTTTTTTTTTTTCTATTAGGCTGTTACCCTGAACACAGCAAATCTAATCAGAGCCTTTGATAAACATTTGACACAAAGCAGTGGGCTTCTGTCTCTGCTGCCTACAGCCCAGGGCAAGAGATTGAGACTGACGAATTTTCATCCACAATTTTCTCTATTTTAACTCCACCTGTCAAACAGCATGCCAGTCAGTGTGACACAAAGATGGAGCAAATCAAAGCCTCTCTCATCTTAAAGGAACACACACACACGCACACACACACACACACACACACACACACACACACACACACATGTGTTGCTGAGTTTAGAAGGGGTTCACAATGGCGGACGAATGATGGGTGGATCCAGATCAAGTGTCAGAAATGGGAGGGGAAGAACTTTGGATACCACATGAGTTACAACCAGCTGTGGCACAGGTACCTTGAAACAATGACTTGATTATTGATTACTCCTCAAAAAAAGCAACTTAGGTACTTAATTGATTACTTGGTTATTTAATTAAGAAAACTAACTAAGTTAGATTGCATGTCACTCTCAACTCTCCTCCACTCAGTGGTTTTGCACCCAAGTTCAGGTTTTCATGTTTGGGTTTGGAACCTTATGAATTTTACTCTGCTGCGCTACAACTCCAAATGTTTTTCTCCAAATTTGATGTACTTTTTGAAGATATATACTTTGATAGCTTAAATATTGGATGACTATTATCATTATATCCCCAGTGTGTATGAAAAGATTTCATGCAGTTGCTATAAGCTAATTTTATACGACAGGAGTTGACAGTAAAAACCCAAAAAACAATTTACTGTAAAAGAAACATAAAAGGTTTACAGTAAATATTAATCATATTAGTTGACATAAACTTTAAAACTATGTCAATACAGTGAGAAAAGTGTTGAAAAGTTTTTCTTTTTCATGTATTTATGTTATTTGTTATTTTTTTCAGGGAAATTGAACATCAGTAATCGGCTAGTTAGCCTACTCTGGGATCGATTGGTAATGTCTCCACCCTCCACTGGTGTTTCTGCTTTACCTGTTTCCATTGGTGTAACAGGAACACTTTTGTTGCCTGCAGAGGAAAACTGAACCTTGATACTGTCGACGTTAGCAACACAAATCCACAAAAGTGCTTTTATTTATTGATGATTATTTGATGTCACTGGTCATAATATTTAATTTTCCTGTGGGAACTTTGGTCACGCTCTGACACACAGCCAATCACAGATCATTGGATGTCTTCAGCAGCTCTGAGCAGAAGCTCCACCGCCTCCTGGAGCCGAGCGTCAAACCAAAGGCCGGAGAAACCTGCTCTACCCCGCTCCAGTCCGCCCCGATCTCGGCCGTCATTTGCAACAAACATCTAACTAGCGGAAACTGCAAACTGCAAAACCATTTGACCCTGCAGCACAGAGTATGGAGGAGCCTTTCCTTTAGCCAATGGGAGCAGGCTGTGGGTCGTCAGGGTCAATACCTTCTTTACCGAGCCTTCAGCAGGATGGAAGCGGCAGACTCAAGGAGGCAGTGGGAGACTGAACATGGCCTGGGAGGCTTCGTGGACCAGCATCAGCAGCGCTCCCCTGAAACCGCAACAGGAAGGCAATACACATGCAAAAGTGTGATCATCTATTCATTAACTCCAATTATTGAGGGAAAGAAAGTGTCAAAGAATCTGATTTGATCTGCCGTCCTGCTACCAGCCGACGACGCAACACTAATAAAAACACATCAAATCCAGAGGCGTCGGCACTGAGAATAAATGATAAGACCTCTGGCTATGTGACGGCCTTCGAATTTAAACCCCTTACCTGACCAGCTAGAACCCCTCCCTCACCCCACCCCAACCGCACCCCCTCAGACCTCCTCCAACACATCCCTCCTTTCTAAATTCCTCCTGCATACCAAACTCCTCCGAATCCCATTTCCATGAATCTTTTTGATTCCTTTCAATCAGCTTCAAGGACTGTAAACAATGGAGGCGCGAATATGATGGGGAAGTAAATCTACCTCGGCTCAATTAAGGAAGCCGCCCCGCAGCCTGCCGCGGCCCTGAGAGATGGGGAGCTATAATTAGAAGAGGGCAGTAAACTTGCAGACGTTATTGATGATCCACTGCTGACGCCTCCCTCGCGTTAGCATTAGCATTTTCCCCGAGCAAGGGGAGCTCACTGTCAGGAGAGGCTAGGTCTCTGAGTCCGTGTCAGCGGGTGGGGGGTGAGGGGGAAGAAAGAGAGAGAGAGAGACTCTCCTCCAGGCTCCTCTTGCTGCTCGTCCACCTGATGGGAACACGGAGACTTGGCTGTTCTCCCCCTCATCAATACAGCAGGGCTCTTTGTCAGTAATTTGCAATAAGTGTCCACACCACATCTTAAGGGACCGGGGAATCATTACTGGCTGAGGCCCTACTCCTCTACTAATTGGATGCATTGGGTCTTATCAACTGAGGATTTTCCGAGACCTTTGACAGATACCAATTCGAAAATCATTGTTCAGTTGTCAATTTAAGAGACCGTTAAAAGAGCTTATTTTAATTTTAATTGGAACTTCCTCCTGCCTTCACAGTGAGCCTGCTAGGATTAAAAATGAGCTCGGGGCATGTGTGAATGTACGCGTGTGTGTGCGCGTGTGGGTGTGTGAGCTCATATTCCTCTGGAAAAAGAAGGAAGATATGCAGGTTAAATTGACGGCTAAAAGGTCTGACCGGCATGCGAGCGAAGGTTGGACGTAACGCGTGTTTAGTTTACAAGGTCCTCGCAGCCTTCCTGGGAACAACATTGAATAAGTCCGAATGTGAAGGGCCAAGGACCCAATTAGGCACAAACACAAATTGCGATATCTGCTTGAGATGTTTGTTGGGGCGATCGCACCGGGACCGTCATCGATCGCCATCGGTAAACTGACCAGCTCAGGGTCTGGGGATTGACGGGTATGACAGATAGTCAGAACACCGGAACTGATGCAATCTCCTGGTTCTGAAAAGGTCTGGGAAGGTTTGATGTGCAGCTGTATAGGAAGAACGAGGTGTAATCTGACTGTAGGTATGGTTTTCAGGTCTGGTCACATGGAAGCTCCTCCAGTGTGAAGAATACCGTGAAGTTTCAGCCCCCCCTTTACTCTACTACCCCTAATCAATCAACTTTTGTCACCTAATTAATCAGCAATATCCACATTTGTGTCACTGAATCTCAGTTTTCCTAGTCAACCCTGAATGCACCACATACTCTCCCGATACACCTGTGTGCTGCCTGTAAATCCCCCGTTTTTTCTCGTCCCTTGCCAGATCGTCTGTCTTAGTGTTTTGTGATTTGATCTGGACTGCTTTTTTTTTTTTTTACCCTGCCTCAGCTTCTTCCCTCTTGGAGTTTTTAAGCTGG